AAATGCAAAAACTTGAATTTTGTGAACATTCGATCGGCTTGTTGTCTACACCCAAAAGAACGAAATAAAAAAGCATAAGAATAAAGCATATTAAAAATTCTCCACGCTATTTGGATACGCAAAAACGCAAAAACGTGATACTAATAAAAGTGGTGTGTCAACGTCAAGTTGTTTTTTATTTATTGTGTATAGGATTTAAAACATAGTCTTAATTATTTAGTTGTAATGATGCTTAAGGTTGGTAATAATCGAGAAGTCAAACAATATGAAAAAATTAACCACACCTTAAAGGCAGTAAAAACTACATTTTATGAAACTATACTTAGCAATATAAATGCTATTCATAACAAAATAGATTTAAAAACATGTGATAAGCATTTGAGCCGAAAGTGAGCGGTTTGGAGCTGGAGTACAAATATAACTGGCATCATTATTAACAGTAATAAAATTTCCAATTATTAAATAAACTCCATTTATGAGTAAAAATTTAATATAAATTACTTCGGTGCATATTTGCCCATTCTAGAAGAAGCGTTTCATTTATTTATATCCTACTTCTAAAGTAAATTTGTATGCGAGAACTTTATTAAGTTTCTCATTTCCTTTGCATTTTCTTAATAACAACTTTTACTGAAATGTTTGTTTAATTTGTCGATAAAATTATTAAAATAATACTTTGCGACAATTATCTGCACCACAACGACACGAAACCTTCTCGGCTGACGACAAATTTTCATAGTCAGTGCGTACATAATCGAATGTCAATTCTTCTCCAGCTTTAATTGGTCGTAGCGAAAAGAATGCCAAACGTGGCATATTAATGTCGAGGTTATTGATCCAAAACGGAAACACTGCTAAGTTGGGATTGCACGAGTGATTAATGAAATGGGAAATATTGCCATAGAGCGCCGCATCAATTGTGTACACACTCTCACCGGACGTATTGTAATCTAAATCGAAAAGATAAGTGCGTCCGATGGCGTCATACGTTTGGCCGCGATCATTCGCCTCTTCGCTGGTGATAATTTCACCCACATACTCACACACGTATTCTCCCTTACGCAATGGTTTCTCGGTTCGAACGCCCCAGCCACATCCATTCGATGTGCGGAATATACAAAGCGAATTGCTGCGCCCGCGCTGTATAACACGGTTTACACATTCCTGTTCGCATGAACACCTGTTATTGCATTCATAAATGGCCTCTCCAGGTCGGATACGAAGACGGCCTGCTTTGTCGTAAGCAAAATAGCTACCCGCCATGCGTGCACAGCACGTAGACAACGGAGCACACTCGTTTTCACATTTGCATCCAATTGGGGGATCCTCCTGCATTTTGACGTTGTTTCCAGCGAAACTTTCTTTTATATACTTAAAAGCGACATCTATGACTTCCAAATCAAAGCGGTTTTCCACAGTTATCGGCGCTGTGTGTTCTACCTGATTCATGCGGTCCTGGAAAGCTTTCAGGTCGCATAATTGCTGCTTACGTCTATAGTAGACAGGCTTCATTAGCATCATATTAATTATACGGCTGCGTATCTTTTCCGGTTCTTTAAAACTACGTGATCGTGTTGCACGAAACTGGGCAAGCAATATTAAATCCGCTTTTATCACCAAAGGATCATATTTATCTAATTCCTCTAATTTTAAGGAGGTCATATCGAAAACTAGACCATTCTCTGTAATTTCGGCTTCAATTTCGGCTATGATTTCTGAAATAATCAACTCAAGCAATGTATACTGTGATTCAATGAACGGCTCTAATACAGCACATTCACTTATGTTGTCAAGGGACTCCCAAGTATTCGTTTCGGGGGGATATCCCAACCATTTCACAAAGAATATGGGATTGCCGTTAATCGACTCAATCGATTCTATGCGCTCTACTATATACTCGCCATTCACCTTGAATTGCTTCAGCTTTTGACGCTTCGTAACTGGTGTTTGTCCATCATCGGTTTCTGAGTTGTCTGTCTGAGGTTTGTTGCGCTTTTTTCCCACGGTCGGTATTTCCTTCAGCGCATTTATTGCATTATTGAGCACACGCGAACGTGGTGTGGTTGAACTCCCCTTTTGATCTCCTTGTATGGATGAACTATATTCGGAGTGGCTCTCATAGCCACTACTTGGACTTGATGAACAGCCGCGTGTTGGAGTTTGACTGCTGCCGAGACTGCTGCTTCGAATCGATGTTCTGGTTAACTGAGTATCTGCGCTTACACTGCGTGCTCGTTTTTGCTTGCGTGCCCGCAAAACTGGACGAACATGTCCCACTGGCAAGCTATTGCGTCGTTTTGCATCTAACTTCGCCTCGAACTCGCGTAGCAGTACTGGGGAGCTTAATAGTGCACGTACTCTTTCGTCGCTGAGGCGTTCTGAAGAATTGATATACCCACCAACCAGTACCGTTTGACAAGGTATTCAACGGAGTTAATCGTATACAGATGCACGCGTGGAATTCCATTTAAAGTTTAAATTAAAAAAGCCAATGAAAAAAACAGAAGAAAAAAGAAATTAAATTAATATGCTGGATTTTGCCATTTTAAATATTGAATTTCAAATATATCGAACACGAAGTGCTCAAAACAAAATTTTGATGCTTATCTTAAATTAGGGCAATGTTTTTCACAGTTTTTAACAAACAAAAACGTAACAAAGTAACGTCATCAACTTATGCCCAACTACCAAAGAATTTTCCAACTTTTTCCTGTCAAGTACTACTTGGCTTGTGATCAGTGATTGACAAATTGCATTTTATTTAAAATATAGCATACCAAGAACAACTTGAAAATATTCCAGCAACTAATTTAATTTTCTTTAAATGGAATTCCCTTAGCGGGTTAATATTTATAGTTGTTTAACTAATTTACCAAAATTCAAAAAAATTATATTATTAGCACGTTCAAATTGACGCCATTTAACTACATCGTTAAATGATCGATGTTTTTTTATTACCAGACAGTTCAGGCTGCAGCTTGTAGATAATACTTGACAATGCAATGTTTGTTTACAAATAAAAACGCCCGGTTTTGGCCACAAAGGTCAGAAATAACTTACTATACTTATTAATCGGTTCGATAAGATTACCAACAGCAATTTGCAAGAATAAAAATTACAAGTTTCAGGAACAACGAATCGGGATTTTGTTTACATTCAAAATCATAGACAGAGAACTAGGAGAATTTTCACTTTTTTAATTACCCTCTCCTTACTCTCAATGTATATCCTGGTCAATTCTACACGAAATTAAAATCTTTGTAACCTTGACAGTACTCTTTTCAGGCTTATAACCTAAAGAGCAAATGATCTATTTAACTATTTTTTTATTCAGAACGCTGAAACCAAAGTGTCAACATTTCTGTGGAAATATTTATTGGCAGCTCATTTGGTCTTAAAAGATATAAGCCTGGAAAGTGCACTGGAAACGTTACCAAAGTTTTATTATCCTGTAGTATCGACCTCTATACATTTTTTCGACAACTGATTGGTAGATTTTCATTTTACATCTCCCCTTAAAATAAAAAAAAATAATTATTTTATTAAATTTTTGCATGAATCTTACAGATACAATCGGGCTGAACTGGTTTTCAAGGGCGGGTGTTATGCAGCCGAAATTTTGTTTGGCAAACAAAGTGGCGGTTGCTTTGTTTGCTTTGAGGTGTTTTTTTTTAAAATTGGGCACAGATTTGCACCTTAATTGCTTAAAACCAAAAATTTTCTATTATCTTCGATAACGGTTAAGTTTGTTCTAAGCTAGCTTTCTGTTAGTATAACTGAAATTTCATGCCCGAAATCAGCTGACTGAAACGTGTTGCGTTACGGACTTTTATCTAATTGGGAAACCAATTATGGTTGATTAAATTTGTTTGAAAGAACGAAAGTACATCACTCGTTAGCGTAATTAAAGTAATTTTTAAACATATTTAACTAGTTAAATGGTATCAGTTTGAACATAGTATAATGATATATTAACCAAATTTTTAAATGCTAACATCTGCGCCAGCTTACAACATTAGATAGTGCATAACGACGATGACATCGTTATATTTATAGTTCATGGATCGATTATTTTCTAAAAATTATTTCTGCATAGCATAAATAACAAAAGTATACAAATAACAGATAAAAGAAAACGATTCATTCAAAGAGAAAGTGGCAAAGGAAAATGTGTATCCAACTGAAAATACATAGTGTTCGCTAAAAATTTTATAACGTAGTACATGATTTCATCTTCTTACCAATTTTGAACATTGATTATAGCAAAATTATGTTTATTAGATGATTGATAAATAATCTACATAGTTCGTTTCTTGGGTTACTGTTACCCAACTCAAAAATGTTTAACTAGTAACTGTTTCTAGTTGAAAAATATTGGTAATTAAATAAGTTGCTGACGAACATATGCATACCCTTTAATCCGCGTAGTACTGTGTATATTGAAATTTCGCCATAATTTTGAGTTAATGGTTCATTTTATTTTTTAAAGGGAACACTTGAAGTCGCGCGAAAAGAAAAATAACACCCGTATAGTGTGCCGACTAGTAGTAGATAAACGTCGATTATCGCTTATCCATGGTATTTTTAATGGCGTTTTCTCGTTCAATCAATAAGTGAGTGTGAATAGTTTTTAGTCGCACGTCCTTCTACAACTGTTTGGTTGTCGCTTAAGGTGAAATTAGTCAAGAGCGTAAACCTACCGATACGTAAACCCGAGTCAGCTGACACGACCTGTCTTACCAGAGCGCCATGTAAATACAAACTCGAGTTGTTGTTGATCAACACCGCAGAATATAAGTAAAAATTACACTAACAAATTATACGCTGATGTCCATACTGTCATTGGTATGAGTTACAACAAACACATCATTTTGACGTAATGGCCTCCACGGCGAAAAACTCAGCTGTCGCCCCAACACCACCTTGTTTAATACACGTTGGCAGAATTTTTCTGTAGTTGTAGCCCGTAGCGCAGAAATCTGCGGAATCTAGATTTTTCCGAGTCAGCTGATTTCTTCCTTCTATAGATGGTTGCCACTTCATCAGTTTTGCAGATGGTAAAAAAGTTATAAGTTCGTATTCAAAATACATTTAAAATATTTGAAATTTACTGTCGAATAAAGTTTTTTGTTGAAAAATAAGTAGTTTATGTTTAGCTAGCATCTATTATAGCACGAAAATTTTTAGTTGAAGAAGTAAGTTTCTGAAAAGGCATTGATGAGCGGCAACACTGTAGTAAGCAACAGCGAGGGCTCCAGTAATCGACAAAATTCTGCGTATACAGACAGCGTTTAAGTATAAGTTCTGCGTTCTTGACTAATTTCACCTTTATTGATCAAGAAATCGACATTCACAATACCATGGAAAGTCGATCATCGAATAATATTCGTTTATCTACTATTAGTCGACACTAGCAATAGGGGTGTAAATAAAACAATCGTGTATGTTAGAATTTACCAATAAGCAAACAAATGTCCACTCTGTTTCCAACAAGAACGCTAGACATACACAAAATCTTAAACTTCCGAGTTTATTGCCCAATGTGAAAAAATTAAGCCATTTATACATATATTTTAAATTTAAATGTTCCTTTTATTGTCACGTAGGCCTAATCCAAACCATTAAAATTACCATACAATTTTGGGAATTTAAAAATCCTATGTGTAACAAACTTTTTTTTAACGTAATGTCCAAATTTTTTGTTTAATGCTCAGTTTAAATCCCCCATAAGAACTATTCCTCAAAATAGACATACAATTTACTACTATTTGAAAAGAAAATATAGTGTTTTCTGCCGCTACTCTTTCAAACCTAACTCAACGGGAAAATGCGAATAATGTAATGGATATTACTCTGAAATTAATATAAATTGGATCAAATTGGACTAAGTTAATATTCATATTTAAAACTTTGTAATTAACTCAACCATTAAAATTTGCACTAACAAACTCATACCTAATTCATTTACCTATCCTCGCGCAAGAGACTGATTTCTAGCTTGAATTTTTATTTTTGCTTTGCGAGAATTTGTATGTGATTAATTACATTTAATTTAACATACCAAGCTTAATAGTGATGTTTCTCTCCAGTTCATTTTTGAAGCGCACAGTTTGAACTCCAGAAATAGCTTTAACCACGGTTGATTTTCCATGCGCTACATGTCCAATAGTACCGATATTGATTGTGGCCTGACGCGAGATCACCTCTGGAGAGAGTGGTGTCAAATTCTCGATATCCTAAAAATATAAATTAATTAGTTATTGAAATAATTTGTTAACTATCCAGAATTTCAAAAATACTTAAAAGCATACGGTGAACGCCGCAAAATAGAAAATGTAGAGTAAAACTTTCTCATTATTGAAATGAGGTTAGAATCTACATATTGCATCAGAAATATCTGCCAACAATATGTTAGCCCAGAAGATGCAGAAGTATGCTTTTATCCTTACATTTTGCATATTTGATCTCTATACATTACTATTTTCGCGGCAGGATAGTTTTAAAATTTGTTTTTGGTATTCCTAAGCCACGTGCAGTCTTTCTTTTCAACGTTTAACCCAGGCAATCGAAGGCAACAAATAGTTACTTCGTGAGCAGCAAGATCAATATGGAATCTGTATAATACGCTTACTGGACATCATCAGTGGAATTCGGGAACATAACATGACACAATACAAATATTTTTCTTTTCATTGACCAATTTCCCAATGCAAAAGTAATTTCATTGCGACTGACATCTGCCGCGTTGTACTCTGCCAACGCTCTAATT